TCTTGGTTATGGTTGATCGCCAAGTCTCAATCTTTTTCAAAAAGATCCCTCATTCCATTCTCTACACAAAACATATTGAACATTTCTTTATATACTATAAGAATAAAAAAGTATACAATAAATACGGGAACGCTTCAGTATCGATTACTTTTAAACTCCCCAAAAAATATTTATTTTGAACACGGTGCTATTCATCAAAGTGGAATCGAAATGTATTTTCTGATACTGCGGAATGTCACTTTTCTTTTCTTGTATCATAAGTTCGCTACAAACCTTTTTTTCTGTCACAAACGAAGATTTTACTAAAAGTAAAAAAAAAAGAGAAAATTTGATTTCTTTCGCCATGGACACAGGAAATGAAATGGGGCTATTCGACTTTCTCTGTTCGGATGTAACAGAAGAATTATTTTGTTTTAAGATAAACTAGACCCGACATCATAATGTGTAGTTTTAACCAAATCATACAAATTTTCCTAAGTACCTCAAAACCGCAGTTAGAAAATGATGATTTTGGGAAAAAAGAAAAAAAGATCCTCCTACGACCGCTTAAGCCTATGAAAAGTCTTACATATAGCCAGTTGATAGAGCTTTTCGAGAACTACTTTTTCTTATATCGCAAAATGTAAGAGACTAAAATTGAAAAACCTGTTTTTTGAGTTTGAAAGTAATCGATATTGAAGCTTTCCCGTATTTATTCTATGTTTTTTTATTCTTATAGTATATAAAGAAATGTTCATTGTGTAGAGAACTGAATGAGGAATCTTTTTAAAAAAAGATTGAGACTAGGTGAGCAACCTTGATCAATATATTGAGAAAATACTGAATGAAACATTTATTCTGGGTCACTCGTTAGTTTCAATATTCAAGATTCAAGGTTATAAGCATTCTGTAAGTTAGTAACAACAAACGTTTGACAAAGATACTTATTTGTTTGTTTGAACATCTGTACAAATTATCAACTATTTAACAACATAATAAAATTTGAACAGTTAAGTCATTGCTTCTGTGTCAACTTAGTATCAACGTGTTACGCGACAATTATAATCGTCAACTGCAACTGTTTTAATACTATTGAACTAATTTATTCATTCTCTCATACTGAGACGTTTAATAGTCTACTGAAATTTGTTGTATCTATCGGAATGTACAACTGTACAAATAAACGATGTTTATCATCAATTTTATAAAAATGATTACTTAGATTGCTTAGATATATTATTAAACAGAATAACAGTTTATTGATAGACTCTGTGTAATATTATTTTGAGATTATACTAATACTGCAGGTGTAGTAGAAGTACATTGAAGAATCAATGTCAATTGATTATAAGTTAGGTCTAGGAAGTCTATCAGAAAAGAAATGCTGTTTTTTTAGATAAGATTCATTTACATTTTTTTACTGTCAGCTCCAGTCTATCAACAGACTGGACCTATGATTAAAATACCATAAAGTAGTCAAAACATTGGAACTTTCTTGATTAAAAAATTTCCCTTTTCATTGTACAATACCATATTTTTATGTACAAAATTAAATTTTGTTTTCTATTTTCTTAATGCAACTAATGTTTCAACATAATAATGTAACATATTTCTTTTTAAAGAAAGAGTCATTATACTGCATGAGAAATTTACTATTTGAAAAACGTCATGAAATGAGATGTGTACATAATATTATGTACATCTGTCAAATAGTTATGATTCAGTTTTGAAAGAAATATAATGTAATCTTAATGATTAAATTTTCTTCTCATTAGTTCAGTTAATAATCGTACTCTCATTCATATAATAGTTATATGACCATGATAAAAAAACATAATTCAAACTAAAAATAACATAAAATGACACATTTCTATACACCGTTGGTCCTTTTTTTTTTTTGTCTTAATATCATAGAGAGAGTGAAAGACTCTTTTGTACATAACATATAAGTCAAGGAAACAAAAAAAAATGTTCCATGCACAGTTATGATATCGAATGATGAAAAAAAAAAAACAAAAAAAAACAAAAAGAAAAAAAAACCACAGCTAGACCAAGGATATGTTTTTTTTTACAGCTGAATATTAAGACAAAAAAGAGAAATAAACACAAATAAAAAAAGAAATAACATGAGAAACGAAAAAAAAATGAAATCTCAACACCACAAGAAAAAGAAGGAGAAGAAGAAAAAAACTTTGTAATCTAAAGTGCATTCTCGTGTATTGTATTTAAATTTGGATGTCTCTATGAAAAAGTGTTTGAATGATAGACTTTAATCAGGATATTGAATTGATCGATATTTTTGTTTAAAAAATAAATAAGTATTTACATAAAGAGACGATTATATCATAATAAAAAAAAAGGTGTAGGTAAGCCTCCACCGTTTGTTATGTGATTTTGTACATTTTTTATTTGATTTAACCTTAGTTCATTTCGTACAGTCACAGTTACGTCTAATATCATGTTTTTATTGTTCTTGTATCTTACGAATCGATTAGAAATGAATCGAAAAGATAATGTCATGTATAAAGTATCATTGATAGAAAAGTGCATAGAACTATTAAAACTATTTAATTGTCCTTGAGACATTTTAACACGAAAGCAAAATATAAAATTTTGCAACAATTTTGCCGTATTCTAATCTAATTTGTATTGTTGAAATTCAAGCTTTTATAGGCTATTTGTCACGAACTTTTAATTCAAAGAATTGTTACTTCGTTAACAGTGCTTGATGTGAAAGAAGCTTGATATAAGTTTTGTTCTGTCAGAATACAAGCGGATAAACTATTCCATTATAGTATTCCAAACTAAAACTATCGAAAAACATAAAATCATTTTTGTACGAAAATAGAGATTCAAACACATAAACTTAGCGTTGCAACAAAGTGCAAATCTGTGGTTATATTGTGTACAACAGTTGAAGTTGTGCAATCGACTCGATGTTATTATTAGTAATTTTTTTAGTCTGTTTTTTGTGTTCTGCTTTTAAAGAACTGAAAACCGTTTGACTTTTTCTCTCTTCTTAAGTAACTTAATGTCATATCAATTGTTGTTTATCAATAGTCAACGAGAATATAACTCTAAATGCCATTTATCAATTCAGAAACGTTTATATCATCTCTATCTATAGATATTATATTTTATTTGTACGATTTTTTCGAACGATAAATATCGTAATAAAGACGAATAAAGTTTTTTTTTATGAAATGTAAAAGTAAATAATAGATTGTTGACTATCGCGATATGTATTCGGCCTTATAATAACGAACTGTCAATTAGTTTAATTGACGTGATGACGGCCCACATTATGTAATATTTTAAAAATTAGTCATAAGCATTTAGATTTTATGTGATTGTTTTTCAATTTAGAACAATGTGCTAGATTACATCATATTACATGGTAGAGAAAGAGAGAAAAAAAATGAAAATTAACTATCTGTTATTGAGACGTTGTATAGAGTAAACGTTACCGTAACTTTTACTCCATACAGCGTATTACGCTATTATTGTATGTTAGACCTTTATCTTACAATGTGTTTAGTTTCGCTTCTCTCACTTTCTCTCTTTTATTCATCATATTTAAAGAAGTATGTTTATCGCTTCTCTATTTGTCTTTTCATAACAATATCTGCTACCTAGACTGATATTAACCTGGTATTGTATATCTAGTCAAATAATAGACAGTTCAATAAAACTCATCATTCATGTAGACAATTAGACGTAATAATAATTAAAAGATGGAAAAAAAGATTTCTTTATTGATAGACCGTTAATTTCATCACTTTCTAAAACATTCAATGCCTATCATTAATAGAGCAATTATCAAGAGAAAAAAGTTACTAGAATAACTAGAGAAAAGAGAACTAAAATAACTACGATGCGAACGAATTTAAAAAAATTAAACAATGAAATGTAAGATACTTGTCTTGGTTTATAATATGTTTAGTAAAATACTGAGCTCTACATACTCACACTGTTACATCGATGTCTCATCCATGCAGATGTACGGAGCGTTTACGTATTCGAACCAAGAGAAGACCAAAGAAGTGTTAAATACTATGCTTCACAAAAGTTCTTCAATTTATATGTTTATATTAATATATGTATATGTTTATATGTTTATTAATATTTTTTCAATTTTCAAAAGTAGAAACAAAATCACTGAAAGAATCAGAAAAAGTATTTTATAGAAAATCCATACCAAATTTATTATAACATTTGGATAATAAATTTTAACCCAACATAATTTGGAAAAGGGAAAATTCAATACGTATCACGCATGGAACAAGTTTTGTCCAAATGACACTTTGTATAGCTAAGAATAATAGTTGTGAATTAGGCGATTATGAGATTTTTACCGTTCGAAATGGTGATCAAACACTTGTAAACGACGAAACAATAGAAGTGCGTTTTGAATATCGTTGAGCAGGCGAAAAAGCACGTTTCGTTCTCAGTCAAAAACAAAAAATATCAAGAGTAGTATGATGGAGCACTCTTTTTGGAAAAAAAAAGAAAGGAGTACTCTTTTTCCCAAAAAGGATGCTCCTAAAAAGGAGTAATCTCAATAACCCTTTTTTAAGAATTGTTCCGGAGTACTCGAAGTGCATGTTCTTAAAGGGAGTACTCGAAAAATTACACTTTTTTGAAGTGCTCTGGAGTACCTCGGCTGCACTTTATAAAAGAAGTGCTCCGAAGCGCCCTTTTTTTGAGGAGTATTCTGGACTACTCCAAAAAAAGAGTACTATAGAGTGCTCTTAGTGGCTTTTTTCAAAAAGAGTGCTCCATTTCCCAAAAAAGAGTGCTCCGAAAATAGAGTACACCTTCATACTCCTGATTCTGACCTTTTTTTTGACTGGGTCATTTACACGCGTTTGAACAATACTTCAAAAAATTTTTTTTTATGGACTATCAGATTAATTTTCTCTATTTTCTCTTTAGCCCGTCCAAATTTATAAAAGATATTTGTTTATCAAAGCAAAGCAATGTAAAAAGATGCTTTGCCTGAATTTAAAACTTCCAATCAAATGACAGCGGCACTCGCACAGGCTACGAACAATGAATATCGGCATCATAATGAATTATGCCTTTTTATCAATTTAAGAACGTTTCACTTTCGATTTTTTTTATTTCTGACTATGCTGATATTTTATACTCACGCATCCGATCAATTATCTGCTTTAAAAAATTATACACGTGAACGTGTTAAACCATCCTTATCGTCGACAAAAATTTTAGATGAAAAAAAGAAATTATCATCTACGTATCGTGAATATGTGGAACTACCATTGCAACAAGTGGTTGAAGATGAAGCGGATCATCACAATGAAAAAAATCAACAACAACAATCACTATCATCCGTCTTAGTTTTCACATCATTAACAGGAATTTATGTTTGGTGGCCAATGTTATTCGGTGGAGATGATACATTTCATTTAATATTCACGCAAGATGATGTTCCTCGTTTTCACGACGTAATTGGTGATGAATTGGGTAATATCTATTTAACAGCGCCACATGGTAAGTGTTCTTGTTTTTAATATTAGTCCTTTAAAGTTGTAATATTTTTGAATATTAAGAACGTACTGTATATCGTTTACAATACACTGACGGTTGGTGGCGAATAAATGATTCATTAAATCACCAAATTAATTCAATACGCAGTGAAATGCCATTATTTTTAAATATTCATTACATATCGTCATTGTTATATGTCTATGGACATAGAGATATTCAAATAATTGATCTTTTAGAAAGACGTTCAAGAGGTTCAGCACCATTTATGAAACGTCTTAGAGAATTGAGTCCAAATTTACGAATAACAGATTTAATTATCGATCAAATTAAATCAGATGGTTACATCATCGGTGATTCATATGGATGGTGTACAATTATTCGTTGCTTGTTAACTATAAACGAGTGTACATTTTTATATAAGATACCATCATCTTATGACAATCGACCGTATTCATGTAGTGCAACAATTGATTTTAAAAAAAAATTAATGTATTTAAGTTTAGAAGAGAAAATATTAATAATCTATTTAAATGAACAAACGAATTATGATCGACGAATATTATTAACAGATAAAAATGGGCCACGTTCAACTTTGGGCTATGATGATATATGTTTTAATGATAATTATTTATTTTATACCGATGTTTTAAGAGCATTGTTACATATTTGTTCGTTAAACGAAACAACTGGATGTTTGAATATTTCTCTTACAATATTACCATTGAGAATGAATATTGTTCATGTCAAAAATCTAAAACCTCCACCAGAAGAACAAGTAATTGAAATACATGTTAATCAAACAACGACACCATTGTTAACAACAATAACATTAAGTGATCAAACAATAATGAATGATACAACAACACAATCACAAAGAATGCCATGTCCAATAGATAAAAGTAATTTGAAAATGGTTATTGGTTTTCTAATTGGAATTCTTGTAAGCGTCATCGGTATTGGGATATATATAAGTATTATAAAAATAATGAAAAAATCAGGAAAAGAACGAACGACTATAGGTAAACTAGTTTCAGGCATCAACGGAAATAATGGAAGTAATTTTTCAAGACAGCCGTTGGAAAATCCGACAGACAAATTGATACCATCTAGTGACTCAAGTGACTCTAGTTCATCCTATAAGCCTGATACGATATTATAACACTACTAATTATAAGATAGATAAACACTTGTACAGTAATTGATCTAATTTGCTCAACTTTATCAGAAGATCTGGTCAGTTTTGCTCAGGAATTTAATAAAAATATCTCCAACATTTGAATGTCTTTCCCTATCTATTTATTCATACTCGCTATCTCGTATTACTTTTCTCCTAATCATAGAGAAACTTTGACAAAAAAACGAGAAGTCTAATTTGATTCACTCAGGCGACGAAAAAATTGATTCGATCCAGTTCAGTCAGATTCTGATAGATAAATTTGATCGAAGTTCTCAATCTGAACAATGACAACCCCAAACTCTAAAAGTCTACAGATAGTTATATAACATAGGTTTCTTCTATGTTCTAGTAAATTGTATAAGCCTTTTGTCTGTATTCACTTATTTTATAATTCGACTGTTTTCATCAGTGTTATATTTTCATGCACTACTATAAAAGTTTTTCCAAATTAAAAGACTCGTTCTCAATCGCTACACTGAGCGTGTGACTGTATTGATTGTGAGTATATATTTTTTTGTACATATTTTTCTAGATCGAATAAATAGTGTTATATTTTTATTTTTATTTTTTTTTGATACTAACGACCAGATAATTTTTTTAACGAACTATTTTTTATCACTATTTTTTTGTTTATTACTCTTTTACGCTTTTTTGTGTTTTATTCAAAGATGAAAATGATACAACGTCATTAAATATCAATTCTGGCAAGTCTCACTTTTAGTACAAAAAAAGAGCTAGAGAATTTCAATATTATTCCAATGTCTCAGAAAGTAGAGGTAGAGTCTAATATCATCTGTCAAGATACGAATTCAATTTAGATTAGTACTTGCTTGCACTTTTCTGTCAGACGCGAGAAATACAAGAAATCGAGCACAAGAAGTACATATTACATTAAAGTAATTTCTCATCTACCAAAAGGTTAGCAGAAATATACTCTGTTCATAGTATTAAAAATCAGATAACAGACCAATTGAATTCTTTTCTAATCGGTCTTTTCTGCATAATATAGTGAAGAATATTCTTTTTTCCTAATTAAAAACCTCATCATTTTTTTGCGTTTAGCCACAATATGTGGTCAGGTTGACTATTTTTACAAAATGGAGATTGTTATTTTATGTAAGAAAAAAAAAACGTAAGAATTTTATACTAATAAAAATAATGATTATCATAGAGCACAAAATCTATTTAATTTCATTTTTATAAAAAGAAACCCATATGTTAAATTTCATTATTTTCAAAAAAAAATACCTGTACAATAGTAAAAAAGAAAAATATTAGTATGAAGCACATAAACACAAGCGAATGTAGAAAAACTCTAATTTTAATCTAATTTTGAGCAATTATAAATCACTAGCCTCTTTCATACAAACATATACATACACAGAATTCATGATACTTTATAAAATTCATTAAAATTTAAACGAAAACTCAGACAACGTAAGGTAACATCGGGATGAGTTTTTAACTGCTGTAAAAATTTCAGTACAGCATCCTAAAATGGAAAATAAAATGTATATGAGTAAGTTCTTATAGATAGAAGAAGAGCACATGTCAATCAGAGTTGCCATCTGTACAAGTCAGAAATTTGGAAAAAAAAACGGAAATCCATTTTCATTGTCTTATTTTGAATGTATATTTTTGATCCGAAAAGTAACTGGCACTTTAGCTGTCCGATATGAGAAAGGTGACCTCCAAAAGCTATAGATAAAAAAACACTTAAAAATCTTCATGATCAGGGAAAAACAGCCAAAAGTAGAAAATTTCTTAAAATCCGAACAAATTCCAGAAAAAACTAGAATTTGTCCGGAAAATCCGGACAAGGTTGTCAGCTATGATTTTTTGCTTCAATATACATATACCAAGCGTTAGATTTCGTAACTATTAAGAAAGAAAAAACATACTCGGAATGTCTTTTTTAATATCTGTATTTCGCTTTTGATTGTTTTTAATGCCGGTTTGAAAACATGGTGAAATCGTCGTAATTCAGCATCCTAACAAAGAAAACACAAGTAAAAAAATTAAGAGAAAAAAAATGAATAATTATCGACATGAAAATAAAATTTTATAAAAGATTAAATATTATTCGTACTTGATCATTGTATTGTCGTTGTTGATAATTTAATCTCGCATCCAATTCATTATCAACAGTTAAAAATAATTTTTGTGTTAATGTATCAAAATTTAATATTAAATCAAATATACATCGTAATTGTTTTGCTAAATCTTGACTTTTTTCATCAGCATCTAATAATAAACGTACAATTATTTTTTCTAATGATTCATTATTTGCTTCCAAAATTTGTTGTAAATCTTTGGCATCTTTTAATTTAGATAATAAATCACTCCAAGAACATTCTAATACTTCAAACATAATATAATAATTGACACTTTGAACAAAACGTGTCATTTCATTTGATATACCAAAACAGGTATGCATTAAATCAATTATTTCTAAATTAGAATAGAAATTAAAATTAAACTATTTTTAATGTTTTTCTTCTTTTTTGTTTTTGAAGAGTACACAAAATCAGTTAGCATGTTTAACTTGTGACCACGAGTATTTTTGGTTAAGAGTTATGATAGTGACAAAATAACATATATACCTGGTATCGATGAAAATCGTCTAGAATTTTTTATCAATTGTTTCCACACTCCACATGTTGTATATTCCATTCGTTTCACTCTCCATAAATGATTAAATATTCTCATGAATCTTAGTGTATTATCTTCCGTAAATATTGTTTTCAATGGTCCATCTAATTTATAATCTAAACAGCAAACATCCCAGCCTAACTCGGACGCTGATACACACATTAATCTTAGATCTAATCGTTTGATAATATCTTCTTTTTCAAATTGTGCATTCGTAACACGAATAGCCGAATCCATTAAAGATTGTAAATTATGATAGAAAACTTGATTTGCCGGTTTATTTAATTCAACTTCCATCAGATCCATTAAATATTTAATAAAATCCCCCTGACCTAATAACAAATACCGTTTGATGGCTTTGAAATGATCCATCATATGATATTTTTCATCTAATATTTGTCGTAAATGTCGTGTTGTCTCATTATAAGCGGATATTATCATATCATGAAATTCTGTTGATGATTGTTGTTGAAATAAAGTTTCAGCTAATAAATAAAAATAATAATAACGTGACTTAATCAACGAGAAATACTATCTTACGTGATGCTGGTGTGTCAACAACTTGTAAAACTGTACGATCCTTGCATAATACACGTAAAAAATTGATTGATTTACCGGTAATCCAAATCTAAAAATGAAAAACGAAAGTGCAGCTACTTTTATTTTCAACAACATTGTTGCTTACTTTTTCTGCTTGTTCTTCTGTGAGAAACGACGGTATCATAGACGTCCGTAAACTATACTTTTCATACCATAGTTTTTCATCATCTATTTTCTTATCGACTGAAACAAAAAATTCTTGGTAAGGATCGTTGATTATTCCATTACATATCCATTCCACAATCATATCGCGTATGGGCACTGTACAATTATACAACAGTGGATAAACTGTTGATTGCTGTAATGGATCACCATGTTGTTGATGAGTATATAATAGTGACAGTAAAGCACCCCCTTTTCTTCCTTCAAATAAAACTCCATGTAAAACAAAAGATTTGTTCACTTTGTATGAAAGAAAACATACCTTGACAAAGTTCACTGATCGATGCGATAGATTTTAAACGCTGCATTGGTGTCGATAACCATACGTGCAGTTTTTTCAACGAAACAGGTCCTGTTGGATCAAATACATTACCAAGCTAAGATCAAAGTAAAAAGTCTCAAAAGAATGTGTTGTGTATCCAATAGTCCGATGAATTCCAATCGGAAAAACAATTTAAGTCGATATAAACGGTCTAAATGAATCTGTCATGAAAACAGAATGTGTGACAATCGAATTTTTTAATGAAAACTGGCAAAGTAAGTAAGTGTTTCATACCAATGAGTGTGAAAACAATTAATATCTCGAACCGATAACTAATCGTTTATAGAGTTATTGCTCCAGTAAATCTTTTCTCGAAAAAAAGTAGAATGCTCTAGTTCTCTGATTACCTGTTGCTCAATGACCGATACCAGTCGGTGATATTCACGTAATTCGGATGATAAATTTGCTACAAATGCTTGTGAAACAAGTCCTGTTGTTGGTGAATTAATTATTCTTCGTATTTTTTCATATAACCAGCCACATTCGAGAAATCGATTAACTAATGCTTTCGTAGAGCGATCAAGTGTCGTTGTTGTCGTTGTTTCATTTCCATTATTTCCATTATTTCCATTAATATAACGTGTTTCGATGCCTTGTAAACCAAATAACAGTTCTTTTAATATTTTTGTTTCATCATCACGGCGTAATAGTACAAGTTCTCCACCACCACCGTTCGTTAATAATGTTGACTTTGTATGGTCCATATTACTATCCTCATCATCATCCACATGACCATTGTTGCTGTTGTAATGGAGAAGTTTTTGTAATGATGTTGAAGATTTAATTCGTCCGATACCATTTTGTTGTTGATCATTTTTTATTCTTGTTGTGGATAGTAATGAGAATGTCGGCATATCAAATGAGGTAATAGAGGACGCAGATGAGATTGTATGGTTCGCACTATCATGATGACGATGTTCACTACTAGCGGTATTACGTAAATTATAGAGAAATTGTAATGTTTCCAAACGTGCCTTGAGAATTTTCTAAAAAAAAAACAGAAAACAGATTTTCAAAGCAACGAATTTATGGATTTTGAACACGAACCAATTTACTCAATCTTGCATAGGATTGTCCAAAACGAATCGATTCTTGATTTCTACCATATTTTTCAACTAAAAAAGTAACTAATCATTAGCATAGTGCTTAACAAGTCAAATCTTTGTCTGCAACAGAAACTACAGTTACCTCAAAACTTAACTGCTTCCAGACGTATTCTGGAAAAAAATCTTTCATGTTTACGAAATAAAATATTGTCTAATTGTATTTGATGAATACTTACAAAGAGAAGGAAGACTACTTACAATATTTCCATATTTTATCAAGTAGTCTTAACTCGTCTTGAAATATCGTCGGATGTTCACTAGATGACAAGGATAAAGAAATATAAAAATTAACAAAACAATTTGAGAAATAATCTTACATGTGAACAAGATGTGAGATTGTGTTCACAGTTTTTGATATAAGCTCTAAATAGCGACAAAAAGCATAGTGTCAATAACTACATTCGCAAAATTTCTGCAAACAATACCGGGTTTGTTTTCACAATAACAAAGACATAAATTTTTAATGAGTAACGTGTTGTCCGTCATCTCATGAACAAGGTGATCTCAATTTTTTATCAGTTTCATTGATTTTCTATGACATAGTTGAAAATGAGAAAAGGAATCGTTTGAATAAATAAATGACTCATTTGTATCTCTGATTGGTTACAGAAGAGCCATGAGCGGTATCTGTTCAACTCCACTGAACGTCTAGCTTTAAGTATATTCTATTGGTTTATCTAAGCTGAAATATTTGTTGATTCATTGTGATGTGTTTGTCTCTTTCAAAAGTAGCATCAAATCATTAATCACTCGTTTATTGAACTTCCAGTCTGTCATATTATCTATGAAGAATCATTTGCAGTCTTACTAAAGTTTTTTTTTGAACATAATTTATTTCACATTTAGTATCTCTATCAACAAATATAATGTCTACATATCATTTTTTAACCGTGCCACCTAAAAAGGCGTCTGATGTTAATTTATCAACGCCAATTAAAAATTTTATAAAAGCTACATTTGGTGATAAAGAAGATTATTCAGCGTCAGTCGATGGTTTAAATTCATTACGTGCCGATTCATTATTAAGAATGAATTATAAAGATGAATCTGCAAAATTACTTCGGTGAGCTACTTACTTTTGTTCTAATCAAACAGTCTGTTTCTTGCTCAAAGATTAAATTCATTACGCAGATATTGAACGAAACAAGAAGAGAGAGTTCAATATTATATCCGCACTCTAAGCTTATGACAGTACTTGTCTACTTTGTTACTAAAAGTTTTATTGAACCTCGGCCTCAATTATATTTCTGTTTGTTAAAAAAAGGTACTGTGATCAAATAACAGCGATTGAACATAAACTGCCCATAACAGAAAACCAAATACGTATTTATTTCAAATGGCAAGATGCACTTATGAGTGGCGGTGGATTATTTGGTGGAAAACAAAAAACATCTGGTAAAATTTCGTTTAATGAGATTTGTTCTCGATGAATACTCTTTACTTTCTTTGATTTTCTGTTTTGTAGGCAGTTGGAAACTAGCATTTGAAAAAGCCTGTGTTCTGTTTAATATTGGCCATGCTTACAGTGAAATGGCATCAGCACAAACTTTATCGATGGATGAAGGAATGAAAACAGCTCTGAAATATTTCCAGTCGGCAGCTGGAATCTATTCCTATTTAAAAGATTATGTTAATACAAATTCTCTATCAGATAGTTCCATTGATTTTGAACCAGCTGTCTTGGCTAGTCTCTCTTGGCTAATGTTAGCCCAAGCAGCGGAATTAATCTATCTGAAAGCATCCAGTTCTCAAAGGGGTATGTAATTCACTTTCAGTTGTATCCTTAAAAATCTTTTCGAAAAGTCGATGTAATATTCTGTGAAGTGATCTATTTTCTTCTATTAGTACTTTTTCGCAAAAATTTCGTCATTTTGTTACACATTTATCTTCAGACAAGTTTAGATTCACCAATGTCTATTTTTTGCAGATGAAACCACTGCCAAAGTCGCTATGCATGCTGCTGATTGTTACAAAGAAGCATATACATCAGCTAAAACTGAAAGTGCAAAAAAAGTGATTCCAGAGGTAAAAATATTATCTTTCAAATTGTTTGGTTCCAGTATTTTAAAATGTCTATTTAGAATTACGCAAATACGATGATTATTAAAAATTTGTTATTTTTATCAAAAGTCGAACTGCATGCTGGAAAACAAGCTCAAACAGATAAAAAATATGGTTTACATATAGCAAGACTTGAAGTAAGAAGAATCTCAATGTTTGATTTTATTGCTCCATTATTAGTATTATTACAGTAGTTTTGTTTTCTTTTAGAAAGCAAAAGAATTCGTTGATCAAGCAGTTAATAAATGTTCAACTCCGGCACTTAATCCTATGTTACGTGCATCACAAGATGAAATAAACAAAATGTTAACAGCAGCACGAAAAGACAATGATTTTGTTTATCATGAAAGAGTACCGGATCATCGAACGTTAGATACAATTTTAGCTCAACAAATCGCTAAACCACTTCCTGTACCATTTCCATTCACAACCGATTTCAAAGGTTGATCAGATAAACTCGATGACAACAGAAAAAGACATCATTTTATATAAATATTTTAGATTTATTTGCATCAATGGTGCCAATTGCATTGAATAATGCTTTAGCAACATTTAGTTCAAAACGTGTTGAAATAATGAATATAGAAGTGAATCGTTTACGAGAAGCAACAAATGTTCTCAATGCGTATGTACAATGATTAAGATTCATTGTTCTTTAATACATACATTTTTGTGCTGATGTCTAGATTCCTAGCTTCAATGAATTTGCCAGCAGCCATTGAAGACAGTGGTGGACGACAAGTTCCACCATCTGTACTCGAAAAATCAAACGATGTCAAACGTCAAGGTGGAATTAATATGTTAGATAAAATGATTAATGAATTGCCGCAATTATTAACAAGAAATAAAGAAATACTTGATGAGGTAAGATTATTTTTGACGATTTTTATATAACTTTTATATTTATTAACAATTTATATAATTCATTTTAGACTGTTCGAATGTTAGATGAAGAAGAACATAGTGATGCAGAGCTAAGAAATCAATTTAAAGAGCGCTGGACACGTACACCATCCAACACGTTAACTGTCCCGTTACGTGAAGAAGCTAAAAAATATTTGGAAATTATTGATAATGCTATTAGTGCTGATAAAATTGTGCAAGAAAAATATCGAATGAATCGTGATTGCATTGTTTTATTAAGCAAGCAAACTGTACGTAAATTTTATTCTATAAATATCATGAGATTTTTTGTGCGTCTAGATTTAGTAGAGTCACCGTTACTAACTAACCAATAATAAAATGAATCAAAAGTTACCATTTTCAAGTATAATTTGAGGATTGCTTGCTTATTCTTTTAAAACTATTTTCACTTTTTCTACAAAAATGTTTGGTTTGTTTATCTGCCATCATAGAAACCAGTTGCGTGAACTTCTCTTATATATACTCATCTGTTTGAAGTAATTTGAAAGTAATTATCAAGTTGTTATTTACGTTGGTAAGCAGTTGCTAGTTAGTTAGTAATGTAACGATTACTTCGCCTTAGTATTGTTGCGTTATCTTTACAAAACGTTTACTTACTCCCCTTGAATTAATCATATTTCTCTATATGATTTCAGCATGAAATAGCTGATGAATTACCATCAGCATCGGCAGTCGGGGCATTAAAAGATTCGTTTGTTGTACGTGAATTACATCGTTTAATGGAAGTAGTTAGTTCAATTAAAGCAGAACGTGAAGTAATAGAAGCAGAATTAAAAAATACCGATTCCGATTCCGTTCGTACTCGATTAATTGCCGCTTTTCAACATGGTAATCATCAAGATGAACATAGTGTCGTTGTTAATGAAATTGAATCTATTTATGCGCCATTAAGACAACAAGTTGGCGAAAGTTTATCGAAACAAGAGCAACTAGTAGAAAATGTCCGTCGAGCAAATCAACAATTTAACAACGAAAAACAAGGAAATGAGACGTCACAATTAAGAGAGGAAATGCTAAAGAACTTAGCTCGAGCCTACGATGCTTATCAAGAATTATTGAATAATTTAAAAGAAGGAACAAAAGTAAGTTGTTCGTTAAGCTTTAGAATAATTCGTCGGTGAGGGAAATCTTGTTAAATGTTTATTCACTTATGAAAGGAACATTTTCTTTCTATTTTATTTGTGATGAATACGATTTTTCTCACAAGTTGTGGAGAAATCTTTCTTTTCCACTATATAGCTGGAAATTAATAGGAAAAAAAGGGAGCCGTTTATTTTGACCGCTGCTTAGATATGCTCATTGTTTAAACGATGTTCATGGTTTAAATAACGTACCATCTATCTGATCTGTATGTATACATTTATTCGTCATTTTTTTTCTGTTTTTCTATGGGTGTCAAATTCATCCGATATGTAATATAGTTTCGAGATGAGTATCTTATTCATAAAAGAAAAAACAATTGAATTTTTTCGCTCATATGTGAAAAGCACGAATGTTTTATATTGTCTGAATTTTTTTGAAATATCTGATAACTTTTTTATAAGTTACCCGGAAAATCTGGCAGGTCTAGGTTAACTCAGGATCTAATTTCTGTGGATGATGTTTAGTTTTTTCTCATAACTTCTACCACTGCCATAGCATTTCTACTTTTAGTTCTACAATGACTTAACGCCGTTATTGTTAAAATTCCAAACTAAAGCGTCTGATTTTGTATTTGCACGTAAAACAGAAAAGGATGATCTAATGAAAGATATTCAAAAGAATATTGTTGGCGGTGGCGCAGCAAGTTCGACGACAACAGGTAATGAAGATTTCTATGTTCTATATTAGAGAATAGTTTAATCTAACTATTTATTTTTAGCTGTCAAGCAACAAGCAAATCAAGTTTATTCTGCTGCGGCGCCTCCAGTACAACCCTTAGCACCGTCAACTGGACCATATCCTCCCAGTATGCCTGGTATGCGAAATAATCTGACCTCCGATATATTCTCTATTTTCTTTTATATGAAATCTTTTTTTGGAAGCTGTTAAAAGTTCAGTAAAAACTCAAAGAAAGTTGTTAGCAAATAAGAGAAGTATTATTCATTACATCAACAGTTGACTGAATTTGAAAATTTTTATTCGTGATCTACTCCTAATGATATGGACGCTGCTACAAAATTAAATTCTAATACCATTTCAGTGCTCAGCAGAAAGAATAAAGAATACTTCGCCTTGAGACTACCGTTACGGGTGTAGGATGCTGATAAATATCAGTTTCAATAACAGAGTATCAGACATGAGCAACTCGGCCTAAACTCAGCTTCAGCTATAACATTAACTCCGACAAGAACTATTTTTGTCTCGTTTCCTTTTCTTTATTTTATTAGCAGTTGCTTATTTCACTTTTGTTCACAAGAGTACGTCATCTCAATAATGTTACTTTTTAAAGTGTACTATTTTGCCATCTATCGATGAGATCGAAATAGAAGACATTCTCTATCTGGTGCTGATGTGGCTGGTACATAGGATATATAAACATTGAACATGTTGACATCGCGTTATAGAACGAAAATCTGCATGTAATAAAAAAAGTAAAAAAATATTGGAATTTTAAAAAAGTTTCAAATTAGAGGAGTTGTTGAGTTGCAGTTGAAAAAATTCAGCCTCAACTTAACTCTGAAACTGAATTTGTCTCTCTCTACACAGTGCCGTTCTATAGTTGACAAGCTTCTGACATGTTTACCTTATTATTGCTAGTTATCAACTGCAGCTCTGATCAGGAGACTAGTCTGACACAGCGTTCTTTTGCCTAACTTACCCTCTCCATACACACTCACTAATCGTGTACTAACTTTCCCAAAAGCCACGAAGGTTAATCGGAGGAACTGTGTTGTATATCACCGCATCGGCCAGGTAATCCACGGCGCACAGAAATGAATAATTTTTTCAATTTTTTGAAATGTGTTCTGATTTGTGGATTCTTCAGAAAGCTGCAATCGGAGGTCAGAGAATAACAAGTAGAACTGACATTCTAGATTTATCTGTTTGAATTGTTTAGATAGTGGAGCCCTGCCATATCCAAATCCGTACATGCAACCGTTTTTTCCGATGCCACCTGGGTACAATCCATATCAGTTTTTTAGTACAGGTAAACACTACATGTTTATCTGAAGTCAATGTCTTAAGGAATTGATTTTGCGTATTTAGGTGCACCACCTTATCCAATGGCAATACCTCAATATCCACCACAAGGCTATGGTGTCGAGCATCCAGGAATAGCCAAGGGTAAAAATAAGTGAATATGATAATTCTTTTATTAGACAATATTTTTCTTTTTTTGTATCTGCATAATTCGAACGATCTTCTATTTTTCTTAATCAGATGCCAAATGTATAATTCTCGATACTAGAGATTTAATTACACAACATTATTTTTTTTGTTCTTTTTGTGCTATTATTGTTATTATGAAATTGAATAGGACAAACGATAGAACGTTTTTTAATGTTCGTAACTTTTTTTCTGTATTATACATGTGCTTTTCTCGTTTGCATGCTTTTGTTGAACTATTTCCTTTTCCTCCGGTGTGAGTTTTACACTCTCTTAGTCGATCTTAAAACATGATATTAAAAACATTTCTTATTTGTATTAAATTTTTGCGTATGTTATTTTACAAACAAAAAAACAAAAAAAAGATGCGTATGTCTTGCTTATATATTCTGTATGTATGCTTATATGTTCAATTTTCTTCACATTTTTATTGTCTTTTTTTTTCTTCTTCTATATCTCGAGAACAACAGAAAAAAACTTAAATATATTTTTTCAAAGTATTATTAAGAGGGGGGCGCTCCCCATTTAGATTTTCCTCAAACTCTCCCAGTTTGTTGCCCTAATGTTTTTTTAGTTTACTGACCCTATTTAACTGAGAAAAAAAAATTAATTACTGGAAAAAATGTTGTTAAATTTTTGAACAATTTATGAAAAAATTTCCCGTTTCTTCTCTGTTCATCATAAAAACTTGGTTCTTGCATAGATCGATAGAGAAATTTGTGGAGAATATTTATTATGAGCAAACATGTTAACATTTTTGTTCTTTCCTTCTTACTGTTGACTAATTAGTGTTAATTAACGTTAATTTAGTTTACTCGACTACTTTAAAGTCTCATTTGCAAAATAACAACTTAATGAAAAAATCCAGGCAATACCTCATCTAATAGAGAATTTCACGGACTACAAGACAAAAAAAATGAAAAATTTTCCTTATACAATTCAATATCCTCTATCAAACTACGCTAGAACAAACTCTAAAACTGAAGTTTTTAATGCAATTTTAAAAATGCGGAAAAGAACTTGAAAAAGAACTTTCAAGCCTTTTTAATTGAAAACTCTACGTCCGCGAAGCGAAAAAATCTTTTGAAACATATACTTCGAAGTGTTTTCTACAAGCTGGTGAAAAAAAACGGACGGGCCTTTTGAACCAAATGGACAACATACATCGTTTGAATAAAATTCTGCGATTGAACATTCAATTTTAACAGAACGTGCTCAATGCGTTTTTACTTTTGAGTTTCATCAGATTCTAAGGGAGATTTGTGCGATTTACTCAAATTTTGTCAAAAATTAAAGCTCCTTTTCCTAAGTTGAGGATAATGCTTCAAAGTCTCATTCAATGTTTGTTGACTAGAGCATATAAACTTACATACGTATGCAAATCTGTTTCAACTATTTCTGTGAAAGAAAAAAAACGATTTTGGACCATTTTCTCTGACCATTGGAATGCATCACTCAAGAATCTTTTTCATCAATCAAGAATTCTGATCAAACTATTTCCTAATCAAAGGTAGGAGGAATATTTTTAAGGTTAGGAATTACTTTTAATCCGTTTTGCACAGTGAGCAAATATTGTCATCAGAAGATACGTACATTACAAGGAGATACATGACAGAAGATTATGATTTACCTAGATGTAGTCGCTAATTCATGAGTATTTGGGAAAAATATTAGAATATTGAACTTATAATTCATACAACTATGAGCTTTTTACTAATTTAGTCTTAAAAAATATCATATTTTTCTCAATTATTTCTTCAGTGGAGAAAAAAATGAGATTGAAATGATTTATAGAATTATCGCATGTGACAACTGATGAATCATATTTTACTTGAACTTTTCATTGAAAACATGATACATTCAAAACAGTATACTACAATGTAGTTTCAAAGAACTGAATGGAAATTTTATAAATTATCGTCTGCCTAAGTCTGTTGGTAAATGCAAGAAAGTCAAACCACATCAGTATTCCAAGTTTATGCCATGAGCAGAGATCTCTTCTAAAATCTTGTGTCGACATGCAAATACTCAAATATACACAAAATCTACTTAATTTGAAGATAAGGTTTCAAGAGCTCCTACCGGTTTTTAGAGATCTTAGGGACCGAATGCCACACTTGATCAGCGTTTAAAGTCCAGAACAACTAGCAAAAGCAGAGAACAGTTAAAAGTATTCTAGAGAACCTGTGCAGATCATAACGTGTTCGCGTCCCTCGAAATGTCTGTCATTGACCATTTTTTTAACACTTCAATATAGTGCAGTACCAAATTGCGGCGTAGCAGTAGCTTTACACTATGACAGAAGCTGCTGTTAGTCAAAAACGGTCAGGAAAAAAGTTAGAAGAATGGCTATACGTTCGACAGAACGTCAGTTTTCTTGTAAAAAGAAAAAAATCTGAAGTCTACGAACCTAGGCTAAAACATTTTTAGACAGAAAGAACAAGTTTTGACTGAAGTCTACGAACCTAGGCTAAAACATTTTCAGACAGAAAGAACAAGTTTTGTTTCACGATCCTCTGTTTGGTAAAAATCACGAGGACGGACTTGACTGAAACTGAAACCTTTTTTTATCGCTTGTTTGGTAGTGTGCGATGGTTTTAGAAGGAAGAAAGAACATAGTGCTACAAACCCTTTCCTTTGGCTACTTCACTTCTTACTTATCTCAGTAAGAATGAAGAATAGTTTATATTAAAAATATTGTATATAAATGTTTAATTATTTTTGTATAAAAGAAACATATTTATTTTTCATTCTTGGATATGTGAGTTATTTGTTTTTTGTTTATAAATATAATAGTATTTTGGTAAAAATCGTGAATAAGTTTCGTATTTTATTTAATACAGAATTAGTTGTTTGTTGTTTTCTTAGAAATCGCTGTTTAGTTGATACTTAGAGGTGAGCGAATCTATTTTTTTTTCAACAGCTCGTTTACTCTCCAGAGAAAGTTTCCCTTATTTTTTTCGCTTGTTTTAAGGAAGGCTCTCACGAAAAGTCAATCTTTCGGCCTGAAATCGAATTCATGTTTTTTACATAGGCAGATATCCTGAAATGTTTAATTTCCGAATCCACATCACTTTTTACCCTCCATTCGATTCTTGTACGATTTCAAAAGATTTTTGCAGGATTTCATGAACTAGGATTATCGAAACTCAATCAATTTCTCGCTAAATATTGAGTTAATTGTTTTTTTCAATTATTCGTATTTGTGGAGATATTTCTGGTCATAACGAGATGTGACGCAGCTTTAGTCGATACAGTGGTAGAAATGTTCTTTTTACGAGAGACGGCCTGGGACCTGCAGGATTCTATCTTTGAGTCGTGTCTTTGGACTAGCTCCAGGGGTTCACCGTTGAATTTTATTTCTAGAACTAATTATCGTTATGCCTTGTATAACAGTTCATTTCTCTTTTTCTTCTTGAATCTGTAAACCAATACGTTGCACTAGGGAAAAAACTGCACACTTTAACCGTTCTAACCTGACATTTTAATTGTAGCAACTGACAGTTAAAACGCCAGGTCAACATGTCGTTTTAACCCTTTCACAACCGGTTTAATTTTTATATATACATTGCTGTTCAAAAGTTTAAGACCTTTTCTATTTTGCAATATCTCGGCTTCCCTGACAGATAGAGACTTCACCCTTTCGTTAAAAGAAAGCTATCACTAAACTCTACCATATGTGAAAATATCGTTAAGTTTCAACTTATTTTGGCGGAGTTAGGTAGAAAACTGTATTTTCCTAAAAAAACGGAAAAAACGCATCTTTAGTATTTCCTTTTTCCTAACCAAGAGATTTTCGACAAAAAAATTCAAATGGCGATGACTCCATAGAGAATTTCAAGAGCTATCTACTGACAAAAACATTTTTGACTTTCGATTCTATCTTCGTACACAAAAATCCTCTTTTACTGAGAAGGACCGAAATTTTCGGAAAAACTTAGATTTCTAACTCAGAACTAAATATTATTCAAATGTATTATACATCAAAAGATAGAGCGTCAAAAACTGCATAAGATGATGTATTTGAAATTTGATTATCATCGAATTTTGAGGGACGTTTCTTCAGAAGAAAGTTTTGGAAAACACGGCTTATTCCGATTTTTGACGTTTTAAAACGTCACCCGTCTAGGGCTGTGACAGTTACCGTTACCATCGTTCCCCGTTACTAACGGTAACCATAATTGACATAAAAATAATAAGCATCGTTTCTCGTTAGTAGAGGTAATGGTAATTGATATACAGTAAGAAATCCTTTACCCTCCAGTAACGAGGAACGATGCTTATTAATTTTATATCAGTTACCGTTACCTCTAGTAACGGACAACGATGGTAACGGTAACTGTCACAGCCCTACACCCGTCCCGAAAGGGTTAAGCGATCTTTACTAGAAACTGGAATGGAATGAAACACAGACAAGACTTGGGGGTGGTTGAAAATATCTTTTCGAACAATCATATGTCTTCCGTCTTTCCAGTTTTTTAGGCCTTTTAACCTTTCGGTTTAAAAAACGTCAGGTTGGAACGTTTTATAAGTACATACAATTACAAAATAAATACATTTGATATAAATGTGAGGGTAACAGCAGCTTTCAGAACAGCTGCTGTTACTCGTACATTTATATTGAAATTATTACTCCTCAACAAGTTAAATATTTCTAAATACATTTGACATTTCTTAGTGATGCCGTCTTCCCTATAATAATATATTTATCTCAAAAATAACGAATTTCTCAAAAAAACCGAGAACGACAAAGAATTTCTTAATTAGAATCTCCGTTTAATTTAAAATAGTCGTTCCGCGAGTTCAGTCCACGCAACATGTATGGAAAGGACATACACTGAGTTATCATATATCAGTCTACATACTGTTCGTTTTAGACTAAGTTTTTTATGGAATGCCTGCTTATAAAGAAGAGTTCAAGAAGAGAAAAAGAAAGCATTTGGCCTAGCATTGCTGCCAACAGGTTTTTTATAGGGGGAGGGGGCACAGTCGGCATTTTTCGCATAGCGGGCGAACATGAGCTATAACTTGAGAAATACTCATTCAAATGAGCTAAAAATTTGTGCAAATAGGTTTCACCACATGCTCTTTCCTATGGTGAAGTCAAAAAGTTTTTCAATACGTCGTAAAAAGGCTTTTATGGTTTTCTGGAAAACCTTCAGGATCTTTAGAAAACCCTTTACTGTAAAAACTGTTATTTATAGGTTTTCATACCTGGAGCATTCGCTCCTGATTTCAGAGACGCGCTTCGAAGTCTTCCAAAGGACTGCTCACAACTCTGTAGATTTTCCCGTCACATGCCAGATATTAAGCTAACATATTATTCCAACTACGCTTGAATGTTATTGAATAAAGTATTTTGTACTCAATCGAAGTTTATTATACACCATTCGATGCAGTTTGACAATCGAGTTTTCGTTATTGATACGTATGATTATAATGACATTGTTTTGAGAATGAAGAAATAATTAACGAAGAAATTGTTCTTTATAGCGTCAGGCAGGAACGGTTAAAATATGCGTTTTTTTACAGTGTTTACTTATGTCACAAATATTTCTTTAAAGCCGTTTTTCGACTTAAGCATTTTAGACTTTTACAGTTTTTTAAATTTATCATCTTTCTATTTTTTATGCAATTCATCGTGCGCATTATTCGACTTCACGTGTTTATCATTGAAAGTACGTTCACATTCAACCTCTTGTTAATGGTTTTTCTTATCATATACAGTACACTTCTCATTTAACACTTTAGAATAGTTTAACCTTAAAATCGATGAATTGAGTTTATTACTGTAAAATTAAATTGAACTTATTTTTGCTTTATTATATTGAGAAAATAACACGTTAAAATGAGTGTAATCACCAAAAATAACACTGTTTCTACGCTATAGTAAGAAATCGAGCTAATATAATAAAATATAAATCATCATTATAAATCCTCATTTTTGAATAAAATCTAAACAAATATGTATTTTTCCGTTGATATTAGTTTAGGTTCTTACAAAATGGTTGTCTATCTGTGTGTGTAAAATAGAAAATTTTTTTTTGACTACTAGAGAGAAAATATTCATAGCGATGACCTATATCTACTGATGCAGAGAGAAAAAAAGGTAAGCAAACTTTTTCTGTAATCTTGAGATAGATGTCGTCAGGAATCAGTCTAAATTTGATAACACAAAAAAAGTTGTCTACGGATAATAAAACTTACAGAATAGAAATAACCTATCATAGCGAATCGATTAAAAATACGTCCAGCTCCCTTAGAATCTTCTGAGGATGTCCAGAAAACTTTTTAACTTCATAGTACATTGGGCGCTTTTTCCGTGAAATCAGGAAAGTTCACAACATTCCTCACCTATCTTGGGTACGAACATCGACCGAAGGGAGGCGTGAGGATTGTCTTGAATTCAGAAATATGCTTAGACCACTGGGGATCTTTGGGGAGTCTCCAGCAAACTTTTTATATTTATATTAGATTACGAAGTTTACACATCAAATCAGAGAATTCATAACATATTTTGGATAGTCCTCTAGCGTTCAACGGTCGAATGGAGGTGCGAGCGTTGGCTTTGATTCAAAGCCATGGAAGGTCGTTCGCAGGTATAAGTTGCTAAAGTCAAGGGACAGAGCGAGTGCCGATGAGCTTTACCTTGAGTAGCAGTCTTATATTATACTTTCTTCTTTTAAATTAACTGTTCCGCCTTTCTAATAAGATCTCGTCTAAAATCTGATTCGCTCTATATAAGCCTATAAGTTATATGTGTATAGCATATAACTTATAGGCCGGTAAGAGAGAGTCTAACACAAACATCTGATATTTTCACGAACTTTTATATTTCGAGTGACAATCCAGGGAAGAAATTGCCATGTGTTTCCACGTGTGATTTTGGTATATTTTATGCGTGGGTGCACGAGATAGAACCAGGCGCAGCAATGTTTACAGTTATTTTTCCATACATGACTATGCATGTATAACTGCGATTATTCACATAGCATAATGCGTATAAGTGCATATAACAGCTTCTGTCGTCCTCTAAGAATCTCCGGAGGAACATGATCGTCTGTAGGTTAAAAGTTATGAATTAAAAGCCTCTTTGTTGAGCTGCGTTCCCCAAATCTCAATTCACGAAAAACTTCCAAGCGTTCTCATAATGATAATGAGAAATTACATATTTGTTTTAATAGTACTATTATCTGCTTCAAAATATAGTGCCGGTGGATGTCGTACCGTTGCATATCAGGGATAAAAGCTTAACATCGTTCAAACATTTCATGACAAAAAACCGATGTCACAGTATAAATATTTTGGTTGATGATGCCATACTTTTACTAGTTTTTCTGTCAGTTTTTTGGAATTCATTGATTGTCGTCGATTACCTACTGCTAGCTTCATTAGTCAAAGCATGCTACTTAGAGGTTTTGTGAGTTTACTTGAAATAGCTCACCACACAGTAAATCTTCCATTATCTCGTATTATGCATTCCGGCCGTATTAGTGGCAGAGAATATCTTTTTTTCTTGCTCTGGAGGTTGTATTATGAAAAATCTTAAATCAGGCTGAAGGCTAAACTGAAGTTTAAGTCACAGTTAAGTCATCATCTTAGATTCAAACCGTATTACAAAATAACTTAAGTCATGGGAAATGTAGTTTTAAAGTTAAGACCGAAAACTTAAGTCGGACTCAAGTCATTGACGCATTTTTTCGAATAGGTCAGGCACGTAACGATACGATTCGACGAAACCTTTTACGACGATTTAGAGAATAAATATTTCGTTATTTTGCGGGATTTTGTCCCAAATTTGTCACTGATGTCAGCGACTTTCAAAAAGTAAACAAACCGTCAACCTAAGTCTTTTCGTAATACGATTTAAGTTCTCCGACTTAAGTCGGTCTTAAACTTAGACTTAAATCACGGCTTAAGTCGGTGACTTAAGATTTTTTATAATACGCTCCGCTGAAGAATAGAAATACTCAGTTTCAGCAAGGAAAAATATTGTACAAGGTCAGTCGCGATAAGGTTACGTTGTACATTTGTACTATTCATTTATAGTCAGACATGGATTTATAATCACAAAGTAAATTTGTCAAACAAGTTGGTATGGGAAAATGATAAAAGAAAAAAAAATTTTTCGATCAGCTAATAAACACTAGGAAGCTTTATTTTTACGTGCAATATCGACCATGCATACATTTAACTAAGGGAAACGCAAACTAATCTCGGTTTTTTATGGAAGCTTTGACCATAGATATAATTCATTTTACGATCTATAATCGAGCTGGTAACGGTAATGATAAAGCAGAACAACCAAGAGACAGAAACTGATCATGGAAAACACATGGACAACTATAGACGATTATAGTACGGTGATAATTTGAAATTATTAGAATTTGAAAGAATTATCCCACAGACTCTACTGTTTGATCATCTGTTGTTCTTACCATATGTTTAGTTCATTGAGCATCAAATTTTAGATATACTTCTCTACCTGGAATGGATAAGAAAATCGATCAGGTAACAGCTGAACTACGCTCATATCTACCCGATGTTAAACAGAAAAGTGTTGTCGTTTTATTGCATGATGTTGAAAAGTAAATAATATTTATATAGAGTTTTGCATTCTTTCTTAAGATATCAGTCTCTATTTTAGTCCAGCACCATACATGCAATTGTTAAACGATGCAAGTCAAACGATTTTATTCACAAATTCATCGTCCACCTATAAACAAATCGATAATGAAAAACTTCCCAAAACGAATAATGTGATACTGAATTGTGCCGAATTTAAAAATTGTGAATTGCAACCAAACTCGTATGTAGAAAAATAAGTAGACAAACTCTAAGGAAATTCAATATCATACCCCAATCACTGAAAATCGCTTGTCTCCCATTTTGAAGAGGACGGTCTAGAAGCTATTATATACCAAATTGTAGATTGAAAAAGTGTCGATCGAATGGTATATTTACCATAGTGATCGGATGAGAAAAGTGGGTCATAGAACACTGGAGACTTGGTGCACGTAGATCTCTTTTTATAAAAAGAAATATTTGCAGACATACTTGACCTCGGAACGACTATTTCCTTGTGTATGATATACAGAAATATAGCCAAGAAAAAGAGCTTTCGAATGATGTTTAATAGTTGTGAAAAGTTGGAAAACAGAGAAAAATCCCAAAATATGATGGATAACATACATCACGAAGAGGAGACGTTTGATTAAATTTAATTCGACTAAATGTTTTCTGAGGGCAATTCTAAGGTCTGGTAACTGCTTGGAAATGTTCTTCTGTTCATTCTACATCCAGCCTTTTATGTGTCGATGAAATTCAGACATGGGACCGATTTTGCCGAAATAATTGCCCCTTTCCTTTGCTATCGTTCGATGCATTTCAAAATGGAGAAATGAAAAGGCAGCTGCTGACGTTTATAGATTAGCAAATTTCTTTGAATAGTGCATAGCGAAAACTAAATTACATTTTAATGCTTTTAGTCATTAAACCGCGTAAAATCATCAGATGTACACTATTTGCTGATTACTATTAATTTTGTTTTCATTAGAGCGGATGTTGGTGTAATGATTAAATCATTCAATCTACTATCGGTGAAAGAAAAAGAATCGGTTTTATCAAAACTGTTAACAGTATTAAGCGATGATGCATACTGTTTTGTTTATGAAAAAGAATGGATCAAAGATAATGGTAAATTGCACACACGACAACTTTGCTCCTATTAAAATGCAGACTATCTTTTTTTAACCTGCTGTAGCCGAAAAGACAAGACGAAAATACCTGCTCCATTCTCTGTTGTCTTTTTACTGTGGATGGTATTTCTGTAATGCTCTTCTTCAATTGAATATACGTTGCATATGTAGAAATTTCTTTTTCAAATACAAATAAATATAGTCAACTTTTAAACCTGATTGAAGTTTCTCTTTTTTGCATTAGCATAAAAGTGAATTTTCGATTATATTACTTTCTTTTTTCTTGTTTCTCATAGAAAATCATTCCAGTACACCGATTGATCTTATCAACTACTTTCATTCCTCAACATCAAAACATTCGGACAATAAAACCAACTATGGTTTTGCTCTTGTTTCTGTTCGTCCATTACAAACTTATGTTCAAGTACGTTTATTCACTGTAATAACATAAATGATTGTATATCATAAACTTTCTTCCTTTTTTTTTAAGTTAAAAAGTGAACCATTCCATTTATGCTTTTTGTTCAAAAAAGTTCATTATATAGATGCTCCTGAAACACTCAGAGATTTTCTTGATCAACAACAATATTCAAAAAATAGTGTGCTACGTTATGAGAAAATATTTGGTCCGGGCTTTGTTTCTACTGGAGGACTTGATACAACAAAAGTAAGTAGATAGAAACGCTGTTTTTTCCTATATATGTGTTCTTAAAAAATCAAATATTTTTCCTCATCTCCTTTGGCTAAGTTGATCTGCTATCCCCATATTGAACGAACATACATAAAAATAAACAATAATTTAAATGAGAAAAAATTATTTTCATAAATAGAATACAATAGATAACGACTAAATACATAATTATCTTGTTCGCGTCTAGATATCCTTTCTTTATTCGTCATGACAACACACATTAAATTCTGGTTTTTCATCTAATTTTTGAGCTTTGAGAAAAGTTTTTAATTGAGATTTAACTTTTAAGTCCTTCTATTACAAAACTTTTTGGCTTCGGTTTGAAAATGAGTTGTTGCTTTGAGCTTCACCTGCTCTTTGGTCTCTAGGTACATCTGTATTTTATCGAAGCAGTTGACTGTGTGTCTAAATTAAATTAAAATTCTTGAATTATTCTCTTTCAGGAATTTGTTGCCACACTTGATTTAAAACCTGAACACCGAGTATTGGATATTGGAGCTGGTATCGGAGGTGGAGATATTTTTATAGCAAAAGTATGTTATAAATAATCAAAAATGAAGTCAGATTACAACTATGAAAATAGAAGATTGTTTAGACTTATGGTTGTTCCGTTATTGGCGTTGATTTGTCTACAAATATGGTCGGAATTGCTTGGGAACGTCTTCTTGGTTTAACTGATGCTAAAATAAAGGTACATAATCAAGGATCGTTTTAAATTTATTTATTTATTTATTTCTTCTCTTGAAGGTTTCATTTGAAATTGGCGATGTTATGAAACTTGAATACGATAATAATTCATTTGATGTTGTTTATTCACGTGATTGTATTTTACATATTCAAGATAAACATGAATTATTTACAAGAATTTACGTAAGATAAAATATCCAATAAAAAAATATATCATACCAGATTCTAGTTTCATTTATCAAATTTTAGAATTGGCTGAAACCGGGTGGAAAATTATTTATTACTGATTATTGTTGTGGTAAAAAGCCCTGGTCAAAAGATTATGAAGCGTATGTGAATGATAGACGATACAATTTGTTAACCGTACAAGAATATGGAAAGGTATGAAATAATATTTTATTCGATAAGTACTGTTCGTCGTTCATATGCTGGCTGTAGATGACAGCTCTTAAAAATGTGATAAGGAGGATACCGATTGCAATAGCAAAGCTTCTGTATATTTATGGAGGCAGAAGTCAAAATCTGCCCTTATCTTTTCATACAATATAAAGTTTGACAGCTGAAAAAGGATTGCTACTAGAGAAAACGACTTATTTTTCTGTATCCTTCCACTCTTGTCAAAATTCTGATGACGGGTTAGGTATCACATAAAAGCATTTTTGCGATTAAATGACAATATATTCTTCTATCATTGTATAAACTGGCATAGGTATCTTTGTTTTATAGTATCTTGAAGATGTTGGTTTCAAACAAGTTGAACCAGTTGACGGTACAAATAGATTTGCCGATTGTCTAAAAGTGGAATTAGAGCGAATTAACTCAATGAAAAATGAATTCATTAGTGTAAATATTCTGTCACTAATTTTTCTTTAATGGATAGTATATCTTTACTTGTTTCTTGTAGGAATTTTCCGATGAAGATTACAAACATTTAGTTGGTAAGTTAGTCACAGATAACAATAGGAAAAAAAAATTTTCTGCAGGATCTGCAAAACTCCTAATAATATTTTATTTTAGATGGATGGGAATCAAAATTAGCTCGTACATCCGAAGGCCACCAACGATGGGGTATATTCCGCGCCACAAAGTGACATATATATTGACCCAAAACAACGAAATTATAAATTAAAGTATAAGCAACAGTTTCGAATAATTTGCACTATTATTTGGTTTTTATTGTTATTTGTTATTCTACATGTGATATTTAAAATAGTTACAGTAAAAGAGAAAAAATAGTTTACAACAATAAAAAGCGTTAAGTTTCGTATCTTTGGTCGTTATATTTCAAAACTAAAAATTATGAACTATACGAAAGATGCAATCATTTCGTTATCATACCAGTTTTACCATGGGATAAAATCTCATTTAGTCCACCCCAATTATTATTCTCAATAGCAGCTGCGAATGGTAATCTCGCTAGCTTTATGTTAAATAAAAAAGTTTATCAGCATTGTTCTATCGAGCAAAAATGTAAAAACTTTTATCTTTAATTTTTAAGAAAATACTGATAATAAAAACTACACAAACGTTTCAGCTTCATACCACAACAGTTATAGAAAGACAAATTACGAAAAAGATTATTTCACTGGAAAAATAAACAAGTAATCCGCATTGTCGCATTCTTTACTTTTTAGCTTAATTTTAATTTATGAGCAATTATACAGTAGCAGAAAATTTTCATTGGACCACAGATGTGGTGAAAGTCACAATTATAATCTGCATTCAGCTTAATTTCTGCAGAATGATGTCGGAGTGTCAGAAGGGAGACTAAGAGAAAGTGCAAAAATCGTAGTAACTTACCAGCAAAAACCGCTTTTAACTTTATTTTTCCTTCGTAAAAAGATTTTAAGTTTTACGTTAGAAAAGCAGATTTGTATGGAACAGTTTTTCTGATGACAAGAACAACGATATGTGGACTGCTACACTGTAATCTTGAATTAATTTCCAGTTTATAGAAAATCGACTTGATTTTTCATAAATTCGATTTTCTATAAAGGTGGAGAATCGCCGAGGATTTTCTATAAATAATTTCCAAGAATCTGGAAATTCGATTTTGATTTTCTATAAACTAGAAATTCCTTGACGATTTTCTAGAAAGTGGAAATTCGCCCAGGAATTTCTAGATCAAATACTTATTCATCTTTTTGTTTTGCAATCAGTATAGGTATAAGAGTGTCACGTAAAGACACTCATATTACACTTAAATCAACTTTGACAGTTTCTACTTTAGATCACAATTCTGCCTATGCCAGCAAGAGTTTTGATTTAGGCAGAGACAGTGGTGGCACGAAGTTTTGGGAGCAAGGTCCGAAAATCCGAGACGTTCACCAGAAATTTCCCAAAAGCATGAGCGGGGTCAATCCCCATACAACCTGGTCGCGCCGCCATCAGGTGTAGAATTTCCAATTTATAGAAAATCAAAAAGAAATTTCTACTTTCTTAAAAATTATTTATGGAAATTCAACGGCGATTTTCTAACAAATTGGAAATTCAACGAGGATTTTCTAGCTTGTTGGAAATTCGATTTTCTATAAACTGGAAATTCCCATAGGTATTCTTTGAAATTCGCCGAGCATTTTCCATAAATAATTTCCAACTTTACAGTGTATCCGATGATTCAGTGTTTCGATGTTGGATTGAATGTCAAACCAAAACAGTTCAGTATGTTTTACCTAAAATAGAATTTATCAGGTGAATACTTCAAGTTAAATGAAGGTTTTGATTAGAAAATGTTTGATCATTTTCTTTTCTTCTAGAAACGGCTGATTTTTGGGATAAATACTTTCTAAAGTTCACCATTTATGTAAAAGGCATTTATCTCGAAAATCAGCCATTTCCAGAAGAAAAGAAAATTACCAAACATTTTCGAATTAAAACCTTCATTTGAGTTAAAATATTCACCCAATACATTCCATTTTAGGTAAAATTTTTACATCCAGTTTTGATCTTGCTTCTATTCGGACTCTTTGTCACCAGTTCACACACCACAATGCAAAAGACGAGCTATCGTTCTTAAATGGAAATAAAAATGTGCATAAATATTTTTACACCAAATACAGCTAGCTAAAAACAAAGTAAAAAGTTTTTTATCAGATATATTAAAATTTTTGCTAAATCAAAGATTGTACTGAAATTTTTCGTAAAAATAAAGTTTGGTCCGGATCGGACTTATAAAAATTATTAAAATAGATTTCTCACAAGGGAGCCCTTAATATAGTTTGAAAATCAAACTATCTAATCTGGATTTTTATGTTAACCTCACTCCATATGCGGCGTCCGGGCTACATGTGCAAACGCTTCCAGTATTAACAGAAAAGTTGATAAAAACCTTCATCAATAAATAAAAATTCATTGTGATTTCTTTGAAAATTGCCAAAGGAATCACAATCTATACCCGACATAGTATAGTTTGTGACGATAAAAATAAGTTATCAATTCCATACGAATAAACAGTCGTATAAATATATAGCTATTCTTCGTTCACCACCGTCTAGCAGTGCTTCTCCAGACTAAATTTTAACTGAAATGAAACAGACACTCATTTTCTGACCTCTTACAAGTGTCAAACCTAGTCTGTTACAGGGCTGGGCAACTCCGCTGACTTTCAACTCCAACTTCACTCCAACTCCAACCCCATTTTCAAATTTCCAACTGTAACTGCAACTCCTCCCAAAATTTTTAAACTCCAACTCCAACTCTCTCAACGAGAATCTCAACTTCCATTCAACTCCGGTTGCTTCACTTTTGTAAGGAAGATTTTTTTCGGTTTTTAGTAGGATTCTGGACATTTTTGAGCTTTTTCCGGCAGGAAAGCGCAAAGCACTTCCGAATTCACTCGTGAATACAGCCACTCAATCGTTTAGAAGATCAGTTTACAACTATTGAATATTTCCAAAAATGCAAAATGGAGTTGAGAATAAAAATTCAAAAACCCAACTCCAACCTACTGAAATCTCAACTCCACCAGAAAACTCCTCAACTCCGGTTTCCCAGTGATCTCTTGTATTGTATGATTCTAGACAAGTTCCAGTTATGTAAAGACTGCCCGGATAGCTCAGTCGGTAGAGCGTGTGGCTTTTAACCACAAGGCCCGGGGTTCGAGCCCCCGTTCGGGCGTTTATTTTTCTCGCAGAATTGTTTTTTTGCACACGAACAAAGTTGGTTGCGTTGTAGTTGCGAATTATCTTTTTATTCGTTTATTAGAGCTAACTGAAATTATATTTTTTCTTTCTTTGTTGTCCGTCCCATAAATATATTATTAGATTGACGTCACTGTTTTTAATTGCACGTGAGAAACACTTGACACGTCAGCTGTTCAACCGATTGTCATCCTCAGTACCCCAGTGCCAAGTGTCAGCCCTAAGTGTGGGCGAACATGCAAAAACGGACAAGGTGCCCTAATTCATTGCAAAAACAACAGTCAGTCAGTAACTCCAACAACAGCAGGAGTAATGGCTCAGAACATCTCAGCTAAAAAGAAAATCATCGAGCTGTGGAAGAAAAATGTCAGTGGTACATACGATTGCCCAGTATGTGCAAGGTCATTCAAACCTCAGGGTATCACCGGCCATGTTAGGTCATGCGCGAAGAAGTGGTGCAAGGATAATGATTTTTAAAGTGGAACGTACCATGTGGAACGTACCTATAGAATTGACGAAAAAGCTGATCTGTGGTACTTCAGGATTATGACGAGTGTCACTTAAACCGAGTTTTAGTAGCTCGGAGATGTTAGTCGAAACCACACTTTCAGTGGTATGTGACTTACGACAAACGAATTTTCATCAGCCACCGGATTGAACACTTTTGTACCGTCTTGGTGCACTCAAAAGTTTTGTTTTATCATAATCTTATTTCTGTGGTCTTCACCATACATCCTCTGGGTACTGATATCACTACCTAACTAATGGCACGGTGGACAAGTGGACGTTCCACTGTAATCCATTATGAAAAATTAAAATCCACCATATTTTCCACGGTGGAGACAGAAAAATCCACTGTGTCTTTGAAATTTCCATTTTGTTTCTAATTGAGAAACATATTACCGTGTCGTGGAAATAAAGTCGATGCAGAGTAGGTAGCGAGTGTATTTTCGAATTCAACACAGCTGACAACTGACGAATTTTTCATTTTGGATTAGACATATCGCTAAACGTTAGAGAAAATTTTCTGGACGTGGAAGTGCATGAAAAAACTTTCTATAGATAAATAAGGTTTGTTTTAAAAATTTTCTGAAACTTTTGGCAATACGTCGAGTTAAAAATGGTAGTTCCAACTAGGTCATTGACTATACTGTATCCAAAAAAATTTTCGTCATTTATTCTGAGTGAACTGTTTTTTCATGTTGGTGATTTATACTAGATCACTTTTTACGTTTTGTTTTATTTTACTTTTCTTAGCGGTTTCTATACCGAGTGTTTCAGAATAGATGATATTTTCAGTATTTTACATATATTTTGGTCTCTGATTCGAACTAAGCTTGATCTTCCTTTTAAAGCATTCGCGGTGAAGTCCCATACAAGATTTCTATTAAACGTTTTACTTAGTAATATACCTTTATGCTCCATATACCTAAATTCTCTCCTTTCTAACAAAAAAATTAGATTTTTTGAAGTTTTCCCCCTTTGTATACACAAAATTAGATTTTTTTTGGTTTCAGCTATTATTTCGATTTTTCTATAGTTCCGTTGATCCTTGTGGAAAAAGCTCTCATTAAGACAGGACTAAACAGGGCTCGCTCACTCTAGTGCGATTGCAAAGAAAAATGTTTTTTTTTTTGACTAAAAGGAAAGGAAAGCGTCTCCAAAACAGGGTTGTCGGATTCGCGTAATAAAGGTGCGGATTTTACGGACCAATATGGAAAAACCGTACGTTTAACGTGATTGTTAACAAGGAATCCGCGGATATTATTGCCGATGACAGAAAAAGGTGCACTTAGTGTGACTGCGCATGAACAATCTGCAGATAATACGGTCGTTATACTGACCTTATGATACTTATTTTCTTTTATTCAGATAAGAATTCATTCTGCTCTGGCTTTGCCATAGATACGACATCTTTTTCCATAAGCTGAACATAAGTTGAACTTTGTTGGTAGAGCAGTTGGAAATAAGTATTTGTAAATCGAATATAGAACTGGTATGAATTCATAGCAGTTCTATATTCGATTTACAAATAATAAGTTGAACTGTTCTCTGATGTACATATCCTCATATGAGAACATTCGTATTGATATCATTGCAATATATTATCGCGGCATTTTTTTCATTTGGAGACTCTCTGGAGATTTCATCCGAGAGAGTGTACTAGAGTTTCGAAAGAATAATTAAAAGAACTATTGGTTAGTTGTTAGTTGTAATTACTATTACATACAGGTGTTCAGGTGTAATATGTTTCTTATTACACTGTTAGATAGTATCCGTCTTGAAAATTTTTAACTTCTTGAGAGAAAAGCTATTTGAAAAAATGTCTGACGCAAAGGTAGACTATTGTTAACGCCACTAAAGTATTTATATTTTTCATTCAACATACTGTCCATTATAGACAAGAAATTTTTGATTTTTCGGCTTTTTCCTCGTACTGCAAATTTCAGAATATCTCAATAAATATTTTATATCATCTTTGTGTTGCTTAAATTGAGACATGTTTTTTTTCCTCATATTATGCCAAGAAAAAAAGTTAGACAGTGTTGACCAGGGTTCTCAACTGAGGCGCCACAGTCAGCGCCTTTTTCTGCTCTACTGAAGTTGATCGCTGATGGTTGAGAACTCATAATACAATTAAGAAATGGAGAATACCAGCTTTATTTTTTCAGAGAGGTTGATCTACCATAGTTCTTGGGGATGATCCAAACATAGAAAACATTCGTTATAACAGATGATTTTACATCATTGTAATGAACAAAACGGTGAAACTAGGCTGCTTTTGACATGTGGTATTTACACCTCGGCATCATAAAAAAGGACGATGTTAAATGCAACACTTTTGTGAAACAAACGTACTGATACAAGCCATATTTTACCGGGTGCATTTGATTGGAAAAGAAAATGAAGGTTGTTGATCGAAAAAAAGAACAAATACATCAGTTATGAGAACATCCCTAGGTTACGTCAACAATAATGTCTTCCTTCATATTTCATGCTGAAAAACTTTTTTTAAACTTAACAACTTTAGAGTTTGTTTTTATTATTAGTTTTAACAAACTACGGATTGAAGTTGTTATTAAGCGGCTAGTTATCTACATTACCTCTATAAAAAATATAAATATACCGAGCAGAAAACGATTGTCAAAAAAGATATTAATACGAAACCATCCTAAAAGCATTTATTATTTGATCGCATAACTTATTTCAACTATACGATCATTGTAGGAACACTGTAGTAAACGTACTTGATTACTTGGTGAACACCTTGAAAAAATCGGTATGTATTTTTGCAATTGTATATGTACTTTTACACGTACTTCTCCAAGATTGCAATAGCTGGTTGTTATTGCTGTGGAGTACGTTGCGAAAGTACATGTCAAGTGAAAAATCAAGTACTTAGTAGTGAGGCAAGTATATACAAGAAATTTTAGTTCAAAAAAACAAGCAATTACGAGCTTCATTACACAAGCGACGTACTTGTCTCAAATACTTGAGCACAAGTACATTCACTAACCCAAATGTTACACATATTTGTGTTGAGTAAATTCGACTATACTTCCTTCACCGACGTCACTGATCTTTACTTATCCTTCATAAATTTAAAACCCAAAACTGGCATTATGTCATATCTACAATTGTGTTCATTTTAGTTGCAATCATGAACAACGACATGCAGCTTCAACAGTTTAGCAATATCAGTACAACATTACTCCCACGTATTCCAAATGCTGAAAATCGAAATTTGGAAACAAAGGTTATGTCTGAACTTGAACACTATGTATATATCATTACCGTTTTTAATATATTTAGATTGACACAAAACAACATCGATTTCAAATTGTGCAAAATGATTTGGAAGATAATACGCTGAAAGTGCGCATGTTAGAAGATCATTTGAAAAATGTACAAGACGAATTGGGCACAACACAGGTACAATACTTTGAAATTTTTCGCATGTGCATGAAAACTTTTAGTATTAGTACTGAAAATCCTCAAACTTATAAGTAGATCATTTAATAATTTATTTCTAGCGTTTATTCACTGCAAGGAAAAATGAAACAACAACTGAAGAGCATTTGAAAATGGTGAACGAAAGAGAAATGGGAAGAATAAAACAAGAAATAATTCGTTTCGAAAACGAACTGATAAAAATGAAAGATCGAAAAAGTGCACTAACGGTGAGTTCAATTAAGTTTTTCATTGACTTATTTAAACAAAAAAAACAATCATTCTAGACTTGAACGATCTAGTGTGTAAGTACTAAGAACTAAGTATTAAGAATTAAGAATATCGCGCACATACTGCATGCTATCTCCATTTTACCATCTATCAGAGCTATTGTGCATATTCATAGAAGAAAAAACTTGCCGCTTTTCTTTGAAGGACGAAGTTTATCGTGCAAATCAACAATTTGATGAAATGAAATCTCAAATGAAATGGGATCAACAAGCATTAGAAGCATGGCTTGAAGAATCAGCACAGAAAGATGAAGATGTTATGGCACTAATGAAATACACAAGACAAGATGAAGCTAAAGTGAAGGTAAACGTTTTTCTTATTCTAAGTGTGCTTCTAAACATTAGAATCCAATGTATTTAGGAGCTTATGTTTAAAATAGAGCGTATGACTGATGAAAGTAGTAAAAAGAAACGAGCTGTTGAAAATGAAATAATGGATACAACGGGTTTACAAGTAAGAAAGATGTTTTTTTTCGTCAACAAACTCGTTAAACTGAACATATTGTGCTTATAGGTAGAATTAGATAAAACTGCGAGTAATTTTCGCAAGGGCCATGAACAACGTCAACAATTAATTCAAAATTGGGAACAGATAATTGAACAAATGCAAGGGAGAGATCGTGATATTGATTTATTGGCTGCAGTTCGTATTTTATTTTGTTTATAATGTACTCAGCTAACATCTTTTCTTTTAAACTATTTTTGTTTAGCAATTGGTCAAAATAAAAGCGGAAGCACGTTCTGTTGAAGAATTAATTATCGAGAAAAAAGAATTTTATGATAATGAACAACGTAATAATAATGAAAGACAATTACAAATGTCCATAGCTGAAAGACAGGCAGCTAAATTTCGTTTACAATATGATGAAGCAGAAAAAAATCGTTTACTATATGAAAATGAGGTTTGATTTGAATATTAACTAATTCAATGTTATTTATTTTCATATAATGTTACTTAATTTCAGTTATCTGGATTAAGGCGTGTTGTTAAACGAACAGAAAAAGATAAAGAAATGGCCTATGCATTACTTGGTCAAATGAAAAAACAATTGACTGAACAACGACAACAGTGAGTACTATTATAATCTTTTTGACTGTTTATAAAATGAGTAAATTATTTGTTTAGACTTGACGATTTACGTATTCGGAAACGTGAATTAGTTGATAGAAAACGTGAAATATTAGATACTAAATATACGGCTGAAGAAAAAGCAACAAAAATGGAAAAATTATTTGTTGATGAACAAGAACGTGAAAATCAATTAAATAATGAATTAAAGTTTTTATCAGAAAGAATGTACAAAATCACCCAACAGATATTTGATTATAAAACAAAAGAAAAAAATTTAGATGCAGAAATAAATGGTTCAATTGTAACATTAAATAATTTACAAAGTAAAACTGATAAATTAGATCATGATGCATTGAAACAACAAGAAGTACTCTACCATCAAGTAAGTTAACATTTTTCTCATTCATATTTAAAATTGTTTATTTAAAAACTTTTTTCTTATTAAGGATTTTGAAATACAATCGTTAGAACGTCGTATTAATCGTATGCAAGGTGAAAAGAGTACAGATGAGCAAGCCGAATTAGAACGTAAAATAAATGATTTACAAATACAATTACAACAAAAACGTGATGATCATGTTATATTAACAAATCAAACAAAACAAATACAAGAAGAAACAAGACGATTAAAACGTTCAATTGATGATACATCAAAAGAAAGAGAAAAACAAGTATCAAAAATTGAAGAATTAGATTTACATTCGAATAATGCACAACGAGAAATTCAAAAATTAAATGAACAAAAAGAAGTTTGTAATCGTAGTGCTGTTGTTGTTCATTTGATTGATTAATTTCTGTTTTAGAATTTATTAGTCGAAGAACATCTAATGAAAATAGAAATAAAACGTTTTAGAACATCGTTGTATTCACATTCGGATACAGTAATGACTTTAGAAACAAGAAAGTTACAATTACAAACGGTAAGAGTTATAATAATAATAATATTAGTGAAAATCAAACTGATCTGATTCTAAAAGATAAAAGTTTTTTATTGAGTTTTTATTCTATTTATAAATCGTATTTCAAAACTAATGACTGCTACAATCGAATCTTAAAAATAGTGAAATAGGCAGTTTATTTTATAGAGATATTTAGACACAAATAACGTTCGTCTTCGACTCACTTGATCTCTTGACGTTAAATCGCAATGATCGTCTTTTTTACAAGTGGTTAATGAACGCAGGTAGATATCTGCACTATAGTGTATTCACGTAGGGATTATACGTGGTTCCTCGACTCGCTCTGCTCGTCTTGAAGCCAGTCGACAAATGTCGAGTAACGAGGTAACAGACTCGTACACGTCGGAAAACATGTCCAGTCTTTATTTTATACGGTCATAATCTCAACGAACAGTATAAAGCCAAAAGTTTTCTGAAGACATCCTGAAGATCCTCTGGTGATGGATCGTATTTTCAACGTCCATTACACCGGATTCAACTACCTTGAAGATTTTTGTTGAGAACCTGTGAAGACCTTCTAAAAGTCCTGTATGGAGATCATCAAATTTTCCATCTGAAATTGCTCTAGTCTATAAATTTTAACTACCTAGGCCGTGTCTCTCTATAGCTATTCTGTACTTTGAAGTTCTCGTGCAGACATACAGGCAAATACTTTAGGTTTTATAACTCTAACCAACGTCAGAAAATCGTACCATACCCTCTTCCAGAAAGTAATCGACACTCGAAAGCTTTCGAGAGAAACCGTAAAAACTTATCATTTGTGACAAACACATGTCAAAACTGCCTCAAAATCGATAGGAATGCTTCCTGAAATTTCTCTGGAGACTTTCGAGCATCTGAAACTATGTCTGTCTCTTATTTCGCACCGAACACCACCTAAAGAGTGGTAGAAACCTACAAGTTTTCTGAAAGACCTAGAGATCCTCTGAGTGTATCATCAGATTCTCCAAGCAGAATTACCTGTAGCCATTTTATCTGTAAACATTTTATGTGATATGATCCAGCCTAACGGCATGGGAATAAATTCAAAAAAGCTTCTGAATCTATCTTTCTTTTTTTAACTCTTACTACCATTACGAACATATCTTTAGGACCAGCGCCGTCTACTGTATAGAATAGTTTATACCTTTATAGTGGTAGTAAGAGTAAAAAGAAGAAAAGATTCAAAAACTTTGAATTTAAGTCTAAATATTTCTAAACCTTTATTCAATTAATTTTATTTTTTCAATGTAACAAAGATGCACGAATTAAGAGACAGTTTCTCAGCAATTTACAAACTATATTATAGGCAATTAAAGAACGTCGTAGTGAAATAAATATTCATCAATCAACACTTCGACAACAACTACTTGACGAGCAAACAAAAACAAGTGAAGTATCTGGTCAATTACATGATAGAATAGCTAAAATAGATAAATTAAAAAAACGGTAAATTAAATTATTAGATTCATCGTTTATTCTAAATATGATTCTGACTATTTTCAGATATCAAATTGTTAATATTTCGATGGCGCCACCTGAAGGTGCTGGCGAAGAAGAATCATCTCAAACATATTATGTTATCAAAGTAAACACAATACTAAAGCATTTAATGCCATTTTAAAATTGAACATTCTCTCTATTTGAGGCTGCACAAGAAAAAGAAGAATTACAACGTGAAGGTGATGAACTAGATGCAAAAATTAGAAAAGCTGAACAAGAATTACGCGCATTAGAAAATACATTGAGAATTGTTAATACAGGAAATAACATAACAAAAGATTCATTTAAAAAATTAACTGATTCAAGTAATTTAAATTATTTTCTTTGTTACTGAATTAGTGAATGAGTCTTTACGTTGTGTAGGTGACGAGTTAGCAAAACTAGAAGAATTAGATGAACAATCGAGACATATGAGAGATAAATTGGGAATAAAACGAAAAAAATTGAAGGAATTACAAGATGATTTGACTGTAAGATAGTTCTGTATAGTCTAGTGTTTACAACAATGTATGATATAACATGTATTACTCTCGTATAGCGTATGGAACGTGCAATAAACGATCAATCAAATGAAAAAAATAATATGAATGAAATTGTCTTTGAAAAACATAAACAATATAATCAATTACAAGTAGATGTGAATGATTTCAGAGATAAAATAAATCGAACAGAAAGTCAAGTAATTTAAGCAACATATAAATAATTCTGTTATTTAATTTGAAAACCGTTTTTAGATTGGACGTCGAAAAAAAGAGGCACTTGGTACGAAACGTGCAAGTGATCTATTAAATGACGAACAGGATATTGAAGTACGCTTACTGCAAGATTATAAAACTAAAATATCAGCTCAAATAGAACAAATTGTATCTGTGGATCAAGATGCATTACACCATTATAATATGCTCAAACAACAGGTTAATCTGATGCGAATATGTCTAGCGTTATTCGATAGTGACAACATGTCTCTTTGTTACATTATTCTAGTTTGAACTTGCCGGTCCTACAAGTGGTGTTGGTACTCCATCCTCTTCTTCAAGAACAAGTTCAACACGTAGTTCAACATCACAACAACGTTCAACAAGACCAGCAATGCCTGTTAGAGAAGTTCAACTCGATTTAGGTAAACATTAAATATGAAGTGACTTTCACATGTTGAATATTGAATATTTTGTTTTCACTTTTTAGCTGCTACTCGTCCACCAACTAACGGACATACGAAAAGACCAACGTCAAGAGGATCATCCACGACTAGTTCGTCTTCAACATCATCTTCACGACGTTTACCAAAATAAAATAGTCTTTTTTTTAAAATTTCACTAGGTTTTAGATCTTTTTTTCTACGTTTTATTATTGTATATTTTTATACAAAAAATATGATACATGTTGCTTGCTGTAAATAAGAGCTGCGATGATAAATAACGTAGTGACATATGAGGAGGCAGGGGTTTATTTAATAAACCTGAAGAATGTCTAGAAAACGGAGCATGGCTTTTGTCTCGTACCGTTCTAAGATCAAACGCAGGGAATACATCAAAGCAGAGAAAAGGAAAATATACAAAAACTAAATGATTGTGTGATGATTATCAAGACGTATGATCTTCTAGATTCATCAAAATATCAGTTAAATTTTCTTCTGTTGCTTCGTCTTTAAATAATTGAGCACATGATGATAAACATCGTTTATTTGTACAGTTGTACATTCCGATAGATACAACAAATTTCAGTAGACTATTAAACGTCTCAATATGAGAAAATGAATAAATTAGTTCAATAGTATTAAAACAGTTGCAGTTGACGATTATAATTGTCGCGTAACACGTTGATACTAAGTTGACACAGAAGCAATGACTTAACTGTTCAAATTTTATTATGTTGTTAA